GCACCCGCCTTCCTCGTCCTCCCCGCCCTCCTCGCCCCCTCAAGAAGCAGAGGCCTGATGCAGGTGTTCGTCTGCACCGCGCGGGTGAGCCCGGTGCGTGTCCCAGCGCCCGCATAAGAGCCGACAGCGCGGGGGGCAAAGGCCGCGCTTCTCCGCGCAGCGGGCACAGTGCGGGGCACAGCCCCTCTTCTCCCTGCTCACCGGGACCTCCCCAGGGAAGGCCGGCGCCGCTGGTGCCACCGGTGCCACCTGCCCACGCCAGGCAGGTTGGGGAGCGCGTGCTCCCCACGCTGGGCAGGACGCTGCTGCCTGCGGGTACCTACAGGCTGAGCGGTTCTCGCCTCTAGTCCGTCAGGCAAGCGACGCATCACCGTGCTGGACTCAACAAACCGAGCCTGCTGCTGCCCTGGTTGTGTCTGGGTGTGAAACACGACGTCGGGGCGCTGGCAGAGATCCCCAGAGTGTCACGTCCAGGCATCTCGGGCCCAAAAAATGTGGCAAATGCTCCCCTTACCCAAAGCGCCCAAAAGCCAGCACTTCCTTCTGGTTCGTGCCCTTGCAGTGTTTATGAAGCTCCTGTGTCGAGCCCAGGTCTGCTGAGCTAGCAGCGTCTTGTTTGGTCAGGAGACAGACCCAAGGCCTGTAGACACAGCACAGTTTGCATACCCTGCTGGTCTCCAACACCTGCCCTCTCTTCTTGCAGCAATATCCTCACGGTAACACCACTTCAGCCGCCTCAGAGCCCTGCACCAGGCAGAGGAGACCCGTGTGCAGAGTGGGGAATAGCTCCCTGCAGAACTAGCACGAACTTGGAAAAGCGTGCACGAAGGGCTGACCAGCCCCAAGCACTGGTTTGTGCTGTCATTGTAGCTGCTGTCCTGGCCACTTGAGCTAGGTAGGAAAATAGAGATTTCAAATTAAAATGCTATCAAAGAACCCATCACAAAGAAACAACTAAACTAGGGCACAAACTCTATGAAGTTCTCTGTTTTTTTGGATGAAAAACTGAAACAAAATCCCAATGTCCTAGTTTCATCTGCTAAAAAGGATATATCTAAGGCTCTCTCAAGGTAACAATTCATGAGCTGTCATCCCTTTGTAATGCAGGTAGCACCTGCAGTACCGGGTGAAGACTGCAGACAAGCTCATGCAGTGACTGATGTCTGTTTGTTTGTCTTTAGTGGCCCCAAAGGCTGCACTACAGCACCTTAACAATTTGATCTGGTCCCATCTACCATGTGGACAGAATTATCTCACTTGTAATTTATAATTAATGTTGGTCTTCAAATTTGCTAACAGGAAAGAATATGTCAAAAATCAAAATAGATCACAATGACATGGTCATTGTGGTCCGCAGACTGAGCAGAAAAAAGCACACATTTGAAAGAGTTTTGATGCTGTCTCTCTTTCACTAGGCAGATCTAGCCCCTGGCTTTTTAAGTTGCAAACCACCGAGAAAATAACAGAAATATCCACTTTGCAG